TCTGATATTACCGGTCTGAATACAAATCTACAGTTTTCGGACAATGGTGAGAAATATCACACATCTTTTAGATAGACATTGTATTCCAGATTACCCTGACAATCCACCGGATTTAGTTCCCGATCTAATTAATGATTATTGCCCTAAAGCTGGTAATTTGACAAGTTATTCCAATGAGAACACCGTCCAAGAGGAAACTAATTTCGTGACACAAATAGAGTGAGTAAATTACCCATTATGGTTTAAACCAGTAAGATCTGAGCCTGTACCCTCCACTGGCGATATATTGCAGCCTAAGGTTAGCAAACCGGTTGCAGACGGTATAAAAAGATTTTATGATATATTGGAAGGTAATCTAGCGTTTTTAAGTTACTATTTCATAGAAATGACCAAGAATTCCCATAAAACGGAGGTTGAAAACGACGTACCGGTTTCAGCACGGTCTGCAGCAAGGCAAATCGTGATTGAATGTAACCTGAACATGAAAGGCACTGCGTGTTTGTTGAGGGGCCTAAGGAAGCTTAAACTCGATGTCCCTGAAGATCCATGGACACTGGTGTGTACTCCAAGGGCCCCTGTAAGAAAAATTGTCGATGGCAGCTACATTCATTTTGGACTAAAGGATTGCATACAGCGTGTTATGGAAGACGTTGATTCTCGTGCACTTCCAGTCATCAGTCTTCAGTTTCATATTGACGGTTTGTCTCCGCATGAGAACTCCACCGTTCAATTGTGGCCGATTCTGGGACGCAATTTGAAACCAACCCCCCGTGTGTTCATTATTGGATTGGATTGCGGTATGTCTATTCCAGGTGACATATACAAATACCTGTCAGACACAATATTGGAATCAGGTACCCTGACGAGAATTGGAATCCGCTGACGGCAAACCGGTGAAAGGATCAAGGTGCTTCTGCTCAGCGTGATCGCTTTGTGAAACAAGTCAGACAGCATAGTGGTTACTACAGCTACTCTCATTGTACTTACAAAGTTGTTATCGAAAATAGGCGCCTATATTTTCCTTCAACCAAAGGGCGCCTCAGTTCGGACTCCGATTTTCGTTCACGCCGCCAAGAGCAGCACCACATTGATGATTCCCCATTTGAGGCTCTGAATATGGACATGGTTGAACAGTTCCCCATCAACTGCATGAATGCTGTCTGCCTGGGGTTAATTAAAAAACTGATCACCTTATGGAGACATGGTAGTGAAACAAAGCGCATTGCAATCTCGGGGCCATTGCTTAGGATGGCAGATGAACGCATGAATACGGTGCAAAACCATATTTCATGTGAATTTCAGCGTGTGCGAAATGAATAATAAATGTGGAAGACAACTGATTTCAGACAGTTTCTATTGTATTTAGGTGCGGTTGTGCTGCGAGGCATACTCCCAGAAGATATGTATAGAAATTTCCTATACTTCTCTGTGTTCACATATTCGATGAGTTCCGAGGAGTGGTATGAACATTATATGGATTTCATTGATCAAAACGGATGTAAAATAGTAGAAAACTACATGTATCTTTATGATGAACCGGAAGCCATTTTCAACGTTAATCCGTGGATTCACTTATCCCAGAACGTTCGTGAATTTGGACCTCTAAATTTGTTTTCCGCATTCCGGTAGGAATCCATTGTACAAACAATCAGACGAACTATATCCTCGAAGAAGGCGCCTGCTCAACAAGTGTTCCGCAGAATGCGTGATTGAGCGGCCGATGCACGTTTGTATTATCCAGTGCTTTTATTTGGTGATACTGGAAGTCACCGGATACGACCTTTACCACGGAATGTTACTCAAATTGTTATTGAAGGGACTGTCTACACAGACACCTGCCCTGATAATGCAGTTTTGGTCAACAACCGTCCGTCGGTCATCAAACAAATCACCGATTATAATCTGATTTCATCGTTCATCGTTCTTGAAGACTACTTCTCTAAACCACTTCCATCGTCACACATTAAAATCTTTCGGTGTACTAATACGCTTAGTCCATACTACACCATCACCAGGAGGAAAGTAGAGTGCAAGGCCCTTCTGCTTCCGGACGAGGACAGCTGGGTATTCCTCCCGGTTATACATACGTGGAGGAAATCAAGGTTTATAATTGCGTTATTATTGAATAACATGTCATTACACTTTTGCTTTATTCAACAGATGTTCGTTGTAATCGAGTTCGTCATTGACAACACGGTTGCCATTGTGCCCAGCTCATGGGTCACTGAGGGCAACAAATCACATTGGGTGAGAAGCTCTTCGGCCAAATTGGGGCATATGGTTACGCATCAACTTTCGCCACCACCGAATTCAACATTTTACGATGTTCGAATAAACAAAATAGTCCGTAAGTGCTGCAGCTCATTTAGCTACTTTCTAGAAACTTATTCCGAAGCCGTTCGTCTCCAAACAATCCTTAAAGACAGAAGCGAGCTACCATCAACGGATGCGACAGTATGCATGAAAGTATCAGAAAAGAGAGCGGTGAGTTTATACTTTCACTTAAAACATGTTAGCAGAAAAAAATGGTACTCATCAGATTCCAGTGACAGTGACAAAGCGCCGAGGAAAGCGTCCCATGTTGCGGATTTGGATGCCAGTCCACCCCCACTGATAATTTCACCGTATCAGGAAGTGGTGCATGAAACTTCGGATTTCACGAAAACAGTGGATACTTCGGTATGCCCTACACTACTTGTTATACACTCCAGCTTCCTAATAACTTCCACATACTTCATGGGGTGCACATCGAAATCGGTGTCAACGCCCAAAGACAGGTAATGGTGTCACATTTAGTATATCAATTGCAGTCGAAGGTCCAGTAAAAGCAACCTGCCGTCGATCGATCGGTTGACTACGGAGGTCAAGAATTTGTCGAGGTGTCTAAACTATCTGTGTAACAATGTGGCAGTATTAAATGAAAATTTCAAGTCGATGCTAGGTAAGATTCACTGTCCATGTACATCTGCTGGTCAGGAAAAGAGAATCAAACAAATGACAACCAAGTTATCAAAAATGGAAACCAGTATACAACAAATGAGTCAACAGATAACAGAGGTGGGAACCAGCAATGTTTTACCGGTGCACGTTCCTGTCCTAACTGTGGATGACTATTTGCTACAAAAAAACAAATTACAAGATAAAACTACATAAGCTAACATGGTGCGTTGAATAACTTCGGCAATTCACAATGCAGTTGCAATATCTTTCAAAATTTGTAGGCCATTCTGCAGCGGACACGACTAGGACAATATTACGAACATCATTGTCAGAGTCAATACTGGTTGTAGTCAACTGGAGAGGAGTAAATGGCAAACTGGCCTTAGCGGACACCAAAGTTTTCCAGCTGGTCATTGGTAAATCAGTGTGTTCGTTCATAGTAAAGAAATCTTGAAGGTGCGGTTTTGCGAAAGAACTATCCAGATGCCAACGCTCAAACCATCATTGCCAAAATACAATGGTGGATTCAAAGATCAAGACCGAAAGCCGCCGATGACCAGATGGTGCATTCACCAGCATGCACCACCAGGAGAGGGTAGGAATTGCTTGCAACATCCATTTCGGTTTTCTAATAATATTAACTAATTTAAATACCAATATTCAATCCTTCTCATTCTCATTCTCCTTGCAGATGATGATAAAGAAAACTATCAACCGTTGGAAGATGACTGCTTTTAAATCTGCATATGACTATCCTTCGAATAAAAATTGCATTAATAATAATTTTTTCTACCTGGTTTATATTTGCGGTAAGCGTTGTTGATACGTGCGGTATGTGTATTTTGGATGGGTCTTCCAGGTGGAGATGGGGTAGGCAGGCCGCGAGATATGGATTGTAGCTGGTTAGCGTCGAACCAATAGGTATTCCATTAGTTTAGTGCACCGGCCAAAGCTGAGGTTCAAAGCAAATCGGAAAAGGGAGCTAAAATTTTCGGTTTATTGAGTGTCCCCTTGAGTATCCCCTTGGAGGTTTCAAAATGGACACTCGAAAGGGGACACTCAAGAGGATACTCGGGGGAATAATAATAATGATAATGACGGTATATTTCGCGAAGCCCGCGAGGCATGCTAGTGTGCACGGACAATGTGTAGAACAATGCGAAAAATGAACAGTGGAGTCAAAAAATAATAGTACAGAGTGTACGAACGTTATTTTCAAACAGGTTCATAAAAAATCGTAAATGTGCCTTCAATTGAAAACGAAACACAAAGTGGACAAGGTCATAAAATGGAGTATCGAGGATGATCACTTATGTAAAGCACACAGCAGTGAACGATTGTTTTATGAAAAGTAAGGGCAAGACAGAAAATTGGGAGTTGGACAATCCGCTTGGGAGAAAATGCGCGTATGCATTTGGTATGCTCAAGGGGACACTCGTGCTACTTGGGCATGACATAAGCCTCAGAATCAAGAGACGGAATGCTCCATTGCGGAAATCTGGTTTAAAGAGATGCATCCAGTACGAGTTATCTCAGGGCATATTGGGTTCTGCTATCGCAAACAATCAAATAAAGAAGACAAGCTATAGAGTTTTCATTCAGAATGGCTGGAATTCTAGCCATAATCGTTTCATAACTAGGGGGATAAAAGAAGAAAATTAGGACAGGAATCAACGTTGAACCCTATCACCCCACGGTTGGGTAAGCTTAGGTATATTAGGCAACACTCTTTAGCTAGGGGGCTAAAAAGTCCGATGGTATTGCGTACAGGGTTGGAACGGTGGTGTACCATTGGTGTTTCTCATTGTTATCGGAATCAGGGGGCATCACAAAAGTTTGTAGCTGTAACCCCTTGTGGGCCATACAAATGGCTCACTCCCTGTTAACAGGGTTGGTCAGCGAGCAAGCGCTACCATTTGCACCTGTTACTCGTATGATTTAGGATTCGGCTTAATTTACCAAACCCTAGGAGACGTCGTCACTTATCTCTCTCTGTTGGGGGTGTGTTGGCGTTCTTCAGTTTATCCTGTGAAGATGATTTGTAAGTGCGCAAAAGTCATTCAGTGAAATAAAATTAAAATAAAAGAGGAAATAACTTCAAGTAGTTTGGGGTATAACTTAATCTGTAAAATCCTCTTGGGGACCCTCTTCCTCCTCTTTGATGCCAAAAAGCCAGTTAACCGAAAATGTGGAAGCAGCGCAATGATCTTTGGCTGACTTGATACCAACTGGTAACGTCTGCTTGGCCTGATGATATGTAAAGTGTTTAAATTTAGCAAAAACGCAGAAAATAGCCTTTTCAGCTAATTCTCAAGAAAACTTTATAACTGCTATAGATTCACCTACAACTTTACTACCAATAAAAATATCTCTATATTATCAAATCATATATATCATTGCCAAAGTGATAAAGAATTTGAAAAAAAGCTGTAAGAAATGCACGAATGTGCATCTTGCTCTAATCTGGAGCAAGTGTACAGTTTGGATTTGTCATAGGCGACTCCTCAAGAATACGAATCTCAATGTTTCTTTGGTTATGTTTTTTTCTCAGGTCGAGATGGCTGCAGACTCCATGGAGACCCTGTCCGTTCCTCATGACGAACTCATTTTTCCTTCAGAATTGTTGTAATCATTAGTGGCTCAGGACATGCCAGTATCGTTTGCGTAGTTTCACCTTAGAGCCGTTTTCATCTTCTCAGGGGATCAGCGGAAGAAAGGTGCAGAATTTTCTCGTTTGCTTTTAAATGGCATCATTTCTAGGTTCATATTATGCGAACTGCAAAGAAGGTGCAGCCGTTCTTCACGACGAAAATATATCCTCCAGCATTGGGGGACATCTGAAACAAACAGAAGAAAGCGGCAGTCTGGGCTCAGTCCCAGCTGTTGATTATGGCACGCCACGTTTTTTTGTATACGGTAGTACTACCACACTGTTTATCGAGTAGATGGTCAGAACCCCAAACCAACTTCATATGCTCGATCTTCGGAGATGTAGGGGTCATACAGATGTATCAAAATTGGTACATCAAGGAAGTTGTTCATTTCCCTCTTAAATGCTGATACGTGACTAATCGCACGAATGTGTGGAGGAAGCTTATTCCACAGAAGCGAGTATTTGATTATAAAAAAAGTTGGATCGCAAGCGGTTCCGAGAAAACGGTACAGAGACGGTATTACATCCTCCTCGTAAAGAATATCTATANAGGTTAGGTTAGTTTTTATTCGTCGTGGCCATCGCTGTTCAAGGTTCAGTGCTATTTAACGATGTATAGCACTGAAACTTGAACTTTATAATTTGGGCAATTGGAAAAGCCAAATAATTGTTCTGTAAAGTAGCGTTGAACTTTTTCGATGTCACACTGGCGCATATTAGTGCAAATTAATGTACCGAATTCTAAACGCGGTCTGGCAATGATCATGTAGATACTGAGTTTACTGTCCAGATATCTGAAAGATTTCTGGATCAATCCAATGGTCCTGCGACATTTTGCTACTTGGACCTCGGCATGTTCCGAGGAGTTAAAGGAGCCAGAGTAGTGCATACCCAAATCTCTTACCCATGATCTGTCAGGAATAGTGTTACCATTGATGCTAAGTGCACCGG